GGGTATTCTGCCCCGCCTGGCGGTCGGCGAGCTAGGGGTTCGCCCTTGTGGCTCACCGCCAGGGGTTGAGCGGCTGGTGCTTCAATACAGTTCATTGTGGTGCTTCCATTTATCGTTTCTGGCGCTTTTGATCCATTCATTGGTGCTGTGCTCTACATCGTTCGTGGGTACCTGAGCATGGCTCGTTCCACATATCGTGCATGGTGTCACGGTTGTGCGTATAGTTTTTGTTATGCAATGTTCATCACACCTGTACTGGCGCTTGGTCAAGGCAAGAAGGACGTGTGTCTCATGTTACTACTGTTGTTGTGGGGCGGCTGTCATCTCATTTCAGCTTAGTTTTCTGCCTTCTCACGGTCGCGGTGTGGGGCAATATGGTGAATTGTTTGCAGTGTTCGTGCTGCGTTATTTCTGTTTCTTGGTCGCGTCGTTCGTAGCGTTTGAGTCAAGGCAAGAGGGACATTAGTTTCACATCACTACTGTGGTGTCGGAGCAGCAGTAATTCCATTTCAGCTTAGTTACCAGTGTTTTTTTACAGTCGCGGTTTGGAGCAATAAGGTGAATGGTTTGCAGAGTTCGTGCTGGTATCGGCGTTCTTCATTTTTCTTGGTCACGATGGTCGTGGTGTTCAGGCGAAAAGTTGGTTGTCTTGTCACCTCTACACTGTGCATTGGTCAAGGCAAGAGGTACATATGTTTCCAGCTGGTGTCAGGGTTATGGAGCGAGGCTGTTTGTGGGGTAGGCGATCCGCTTCACACGACAAGTGGCTGTGCGGTTTGCCTAATAGAGCCTTCTTCACTTCAGCTTAGTACTCATTCACATCCTGGCATTGGTCTGGCGCAATGTGCGAATTGCTTCCAGGTCATGTGCTGGAGTCGGCGGTCTTCTACTTCTTGGTCATGCTGCTCGTGGTGCTCAGAGGGTGGCTTATTCTTCGGATCGCTTCGAGATTGGTCTCATCTCATCTCATCTCATCACCTCCTCCTCCTCCTCCTCTCATCATCATCATCATCATCATCATCATCATCATCATCCTCATCCTCATCCTCATCCTCATCCTCATCCTCATCTCATCATCATCATCATCATCATCATCATCATCATCATCATCATCATCATCATCATCATTCATCATCATCATCATCATCATCATCATCATCATCATCATCCCTCCTCCTCCTCCTCCTCCTCCTCCTCCTCCTCCTCCTCCTCCTCCTCCTCCTCATCCCTCCTCCTCCTTCTCCTCCTCCTCCTCCTCCTCCTCATCCTCCTCCTCCTCCTGCGAAGGAGGCGGGCATGGCGCAAGCTCGGTGGTCAGCCCGCCCACCCCCTCGCCACTTCTCCCCTTCGTCCAGCCTCCGCGCCGTCGGCTCGACCTCCGCTCTGGCATGGTGGTCGCTGGGCGACCGTGGCGATATTGGTTCCGCCGACGTCGGCGGCCGCTGCTGCGGCGCTGGCGAGGAGTGACGGCGGACCTCCTGCGCTGTTGCAGTCAAGATGGTGAAATACGGACTACTTCGGGCTCTGGAGGGGCTCTGGTATTCGGCTTAGGTCGGGCGTGTCCCTCTACAGGCGGATGTTGGACGAAAAATCAAAAACATACCCCACAGTATGAAAAGTAATCAGAAATGGTAGAAAAATCGTTCCCAGAATTGTCCAAGCTATTTTTGGAGATTCCTCCTGTAGAGGGACATGCCCGACTTAATACTCGTGCCGGGGAACCTCTTCGTGGCCGAGGTTCTCCGTGGCTAGAAGCGCCCAGTCGTTCTTACCCAGCGCTCTTTCTGGCAGCACGATGGCTGCAACGAACGAAGCTGGGCTCTTGCGACCGGCTCCGCCATTGCGCTGCGCGCTTGCGGAACTCTCGCCAACGCGCTCGCGCGTGGGCCCGCGGGCGTGGACGCCTACCGGTACCGCGGCCGCTGCACCTCATCTGCTTCCGCCGTGTTCAGGGGCGGCCGGGTGCAAAACTAGCGCTGCATGCATACGTATATTTTTGCCCTGGGCCTTCCTGATCGGTCCGGGGCCCGTGCTGGGCGCTAGTTTGCACTTCATGGGCCTCCGTACGCGTGTCTAGTTCTTCCCCCTGTCCTCTCCTCTCCCTCCTCCCCTGGTGCTCGCCGTCCGCTGACAGTGTGTCTCGATCTCAGGCCTAGGGTCGAGTCGGCGACCGAAACGGCCAAACGCCGCGCGCTCGACCCCCCAGCGGCCGCGCCGCCCCAGAGTGATCCGTCCCCGCGGGGCCCGGTCCTGAAGGCCAACGTCATGCAGCAGGAGGGCTCCGAGGAGCCCATCACAGATATCAGAAAACCCCACGATGCTGGTGCGTCCTTGGCAATGGTTGCGGAGCCGCGAGACATCACGGCCGCAAGCGTGCGTGAGCGAGTCGAGCAGCCTCGGCAGCGACGAGGGGCTCGACGTAGACATGCCTGGGACGACGGACGAATCCCAGGGAGGCGGCTCTAGACGGGCACCGCGTGCCGACCTGACCGAGGGCGGACGCATCAGTGGCCTCGAGATAGACGTGTTCAGCGGCAGCAGGAATCTTGCGGGGCTCCCCGGCCACTTCCAGATTTGGTGCTCGCGCTGTAGACGCCTTGTTTTCCTAAGGCTTTGCAGCGTCGTCCGCACCTTGATTCTGCATGCCCGAGCTCCGTAGCTGCCTGCCCGCCCTCCTGTCTGTGCTCAGCTGCGTCCTTGCTCTTATGGACACTGCGCAGGCCTGACGAAAGCCTGAGAGGTCTCTTCCAATGTGTACAAGGACTTGAATCGTTCGGCGGAGAGCGTGCGCTGCATGTCGGACCTGTGCAGCGGGAAGCTCGCGGCGGCGGCTTTCCGGAGGACCCCGCCACCCGAAGGCCAACAGCATCCAGCAAAAGGGCTCCGAGGAACCCGTCACGGACCTCGGAAAGCCCGGCGCTGCCGGCGCGCCCTTCGCGCCAGGGCCCCCGCGCCTCGCGCCGCCCGCTGGCGCGCCAGGCCCTGCTGCAACCGCTTGCCGCGAGCGCGCCCCCGGGCAAGGCGGGGGCGCGCGCGGGAGGTGGTGCGGGCCAATCCGCCCTCCCCCTGCCTTCTGCACGTCGGCTTGGATAGAGGGAGAACAGACGGCATAAACATCGTTCCTATGTATATACTTCTATAGGGCGGGGGACCCCTGACAGACCCCGGACGGAGTCCCCCCGAGACTTTCGGGCGGTCCCAGAAGCGCCCCAGACGGCCCGAGATACTCCCAAGAGGGGTCCACGAGCGCTCCTCCAAGACAGGCCACGAGCGCTCCAAGAGACCCCAAGACCGCCCAAGACCGTCCATAGGGGGCCCCGATGTGAATCGGTCGAAGCACTCTAAGTCTTCAATCGTGGTCGAATCGAAGTCCGAAACCTGCCAACTTCTCCTCGAGCACCCTCGTCCACAATCGCTCTGCGTGCAGGGAGGGTAATGATAGCGTTTCTGGTCAGTCGAGAGGCCTCTCGAGCTCAAACGGCAACAGTGCTTGCTCCTATCTGCCATGCCTGCTTTACACATGCTGCCACGCTGCTGGGGAGGGAAGGGTGCTGCTCTAACAGATTAGTCAGAAACACCTCCGAAAACGCATTGTACGGAGTGCAATTCACACTGGTAAGAAAGGGAATGAAAACTTGTAAAACCTTTACCTCAATTACATGAAAATTAGAAGAACACCACAGCAGCTCGCAGATCATTATCGTCGGCTCGACCGCCCAAACTGGCGTCCGGACACCAACTCTGCCTTGCTCGAGAGAAACTGCGCCAAACAAAGTAGTCGCATACCTCTGCTGAAATAGCTTCATTGAGAAAGTGGGGAAAGAAAAGGCACGAGACTGGAACAGGATGCAAATCAAGATTTGCCGGGGCACCGTCACTCATGGTGCGGCTTCTGCTGTACAATATGCAGCTCACGGGTAACCTCCCAGCCTCGCCGAAATCCATTCGTCACGTGTTTGTACTGTCCGTACTGTCCGTCGGGTCGCCCAACACTCGTGTAGTTGACTGGTCCCTGGCAACCAATGCCCCACTTGACCGTACTCAACTTCACCTTCTTCTCCTTCGGGATCTGTGTCGGTACAAACTCCTTCTCACTGCCTGGCTCTGGAGATGTCGGGACCGGCCGCGCCGTTCCTGCAGCCTTGAGCGCTGCGCAGCACACTAAGCCCAGCAGCACGATCGCCACCAGCATGCTGCAAAGCCCTTTCACGAACGTGCTGAGCGGTATGCTGATCACAATCCTCTGGCTCTCGGTCCACTTGAACTCCACCAGGGCCTGCTCCGCCTCGCTCTCGTAGATCTTCACCTCGCTGGCCGCCGCTGTCGTCATAGACGTCATAGTCGCCAGAGCCGTCATCGCGCTGGTCTTTGGCTTAGATATGGCGAACCTCTCGGCCTCTGCCTGGCGGTCCTTGGCGGTCTTCTCCTTGGCGGCCTGGAAGATTTCGTCGAACCTGAGGCTGATCGTTCCAGACCTGAGTCGGTCTGCCAACAACTGTCGCGCTGCCAGCTTGGTGAAGCCGCCTGCAAACTGGCACTCCGAGCTGACCCAGTACCAGCCCGTTGCGCTCGCCGTCATGCGCCCCTTGAGCACCTGCACCTCGATGCCTGTCCGCTTGTCATTGAAGTTGTGCACGTGGGGCTTCTGGGCGGCGTCGTAGAGAGCCTTCGCGTCCACCACGAGCGCACTCTTGCCCAGCGCCGTCATGGTGCCATTCAGCCTCGGATCCCGCGTGGGGTCGAGCATCAAGCTGTAGTGCACCTTCACGTACTCGAGCGCGTCCACGCCTCCAGCTGCAGCTTGGGCCTCGCTCGCCAGTGAGGATCTGCTCACCCTCGGTAGCTTCCACGAGCGCCAGTCGACGATCACGTACTTGACGGTCTCGCCGCTGAGCACGCGCATGTGAGTAGCCAGGATGAGATAGCCTCCTTGCGAGCTCCCATCTCGTCGAACTGCCCACGCTGCGTCCGTCATGCAAATGAACGTCACGTCGTCCGGGTCGTCACATATCTTGGGGAACACCTGGCACACGTCGCTGTTGGCATTGGCAAACCGCAGCGTCTTGTTGGCCTCCACCAGGTCTTGCACGGTGGAGCCCTCGTTGATCCTACCTTGGCCCAGGCTGACACTGCACTGCAAGTGCGGCGCTGCCTGGTTGCTGGGCCACGCTAAGCTGCCCATCAATCCTCGTAGCTGTCGACGCTCGCCTTCAGTGATAGCCAACTACAGGTCGCTCGCTCGGTTCTTGGTCACGGTGATCGGCTTGAGCGATTTGATGTAGGCTTCACAGCTCATCTGATAATCTCCTGTCGTCGTCTTTGAGAGCTGGTTCCCGCAGAAATCCATCGAGGCGTCACCTGCTACATTCAGCGTGCCCTTCTCGGTGTCCTCCCACGTCCTGAAGTTGACGCGCGCTGAGAAGCATGCCTTGCCGTCCTGGTTGCTGCCGCCACCGAGCATGTCGTCAACGTGTAGTCCGATCGCTCCGTCGAATACCTTCGAGTTGGTCGCGTCCAGGCGGTAGCTCAGGAACAGGCAAGGGTCCAGCGGGTGAACCACGAAACCACGCGCAATCATGCGGTCTGTAGCTTCCTCCCACCAACGCCTCGGCGCGTCGCTCAGGCCATACATACTCTTGAGCAGCTTCATCCGCGTACCCGGCTGGTAGCCGAGCATCCTGCACGCCTCCGCCGGTAGCAGCACGGATATCCCACGATCCGAGCGCTTGCCCTGCAGGAACGCGGTGCTGACATCCGCGGTGAACAGGATCCAGCCGTGAATGCGCGCAAACATCACGATGAAGGTTCTGCTCAGTCTAGCCATCGTCGGTGAGGATTTGGCCAGCTTCCCCGCAACAGCGTCTGGATCTCGAAACCCTTGGATAACTAGCCTTGCCTTGGCCCTGTAACTTCCGTCGGCGTTCTTCGACCACTTGAGCAGGAAACGTGCTCTCAGCACCTTGTTGGGGCCCTTCGCCTCGTTCTTGTCCTGCTCCCAGACCTGGTTGTCAAAGAAGCTCTGCAGCTCCACACGCTTCGCCTCCGCGAACTTGGCCTTGTCCTCCGCATTCATGTTCTTCTCGCTCAGCTCACCGGCCACGTAGCACTCCTCGTAGTCCAGGTAGAGCGCCTGCTCCTGCTCGCTGTAGCTCCAGCCCTTGGGCAGCGCATCCACATCCAGGAACATCACGTCCTCGGAGAACTCCACCTTGTCGTAGGGTCCCGACCGGTGTTCTTGTCGGTCGCGCTGAACTGAGAACGTCCGCATCGGTGCCATCTCTGCGGCGTCCAGGTTCCTCCGCATCTCCCTGAACCTGGCTGCCGAGTCGGTCACTGTCGTCATCGGTGTGGGGGTGATGAGTCTCGAAGCACTACTGTCACCGTCAGCTTCTTGACCTTCTGACTCGGCCTCTGCCGGTGCCGCCGCTGGCTGCGGATGTAAATCGGGGTCTTCATCTTGATCAGGTATCGGCGTGTCGTGCGCCGTCGGTGGTGGGTCCTCACTGCTCGCCGGCCTCGGCTCGGCCTGCGGCTCGGAACCCTGGGCAGAAACCTGCCTGAGCTGACCTGCCATGGCCTGCTCCAGCGTCGGTACGCTGCCCGCCGTAGGCAACGGCCCGTCCTCCTCCATCGGCTCGTCCGCTCGGTCCTCCTCAGTGGGCCCGGGCAGCTGGCTGATATCGAAGAACTGCACGATACCTCCGCGTCGTAGTCCCTGTAGTGTCCTGTGCTGCCTGTAGGTTTGCTGGTCGCTTAGGCTCGCCGATCCGCTCCACGATGGGTCGGATCTGGTCCGGGCTGCGCCTCAGTGAGCTCCCGCCGTGCGTGACCCAGTAGACCTTGGGCTGGCCGTTCTCCGCATCCTCTCGTAGAGCCACGGTAGCCGGCCCTCTCCAGCGTGACTTCTGAAGCCGACTCGCTCCACGGTCGCGCCAGTAGTAGCACTCGTCGCCCACGCTCACCGCCCCATGGGCGTCGCGCCTCTTGCGCAGGAAGGCCCTGCGCAAACCACGCCTCTTGCGCAGGAAGGCCCTGCGCAAACGCTCCGTCGAGTCCGCCTTGATGAAAGCCATCGCCGCTGCCGTCCGCCTCTGCATCGCCTCTTGGAACGTCTCCTCCTCCAGGTAGGCTTCCGACGCTGGCACGGACAGCGTGTCCGCGGACAGGGAGTCGTTGAGCTCAGGGCTGTAGCCCAAAACCCACTGCGCTGGACTGAAGCCCTTGTGATGTATCATCCTGTTGATCTGGTTGGGCACGTAGTCCAGCGCCGACTTCAGGTTCTCGATGGTGCGTTCTAGGCCAGTCTCCTCGAACCAACGCTCCAGCGTCTCACGCGTCACCTGATGAGCTCGCTCAACTGGTCCCAGGGCGTGGTGAGCCTCGCCAGGGGCAATCCGCATCCTGATGTTCTGGTTGCTGGCCCAGTCGAGCATCTCCTGACTGCACGCCGCGCCGCACTCGTCCATCACGAGCCTCGTCGGAGCCCCGCAGTGCTTGATCCACGCCTTCTCGATGGACTTGATGGCCTCGGCCGAGGTCTCTCGCGCCACGACGCGGCACTTCTGGAAACGACTAGCTCCGTCCAGCATGTGCGCGATCTTCCCCGAGCCCGAGCGCAGCTTGAACTCGAAAAAGTCCAGGTAGACTGCCTGGTTGAGCGTCTTCCAGGATGGTGGTGCTGACTTCGGTGGTTGGGAGGCCTTCTTCCGCTCTGCGCAGATCGCGCAGAGGTACTTCCTCGCACACGCTATAACTTCCTCTCTCGCCTCCGCCGCCGTCAGCATCCGCACGAAAACCTCCGTGCTGGGGTGGCCCAGGTTCTTGTGGAGGCGCTCCACATATCTGACCACGTTCTGGCCGAACTCGCTCCTCAGCAGCCTGTTCTGGTACATCTCCTTCGGGTCGTTGCTGCTGCTGCCCACCGTCGCGTGGTAGATATGCTCCACCGCGTCCTCGCCTGCCTCGAGACCCAGCACTCGGATATCCGAGTCCTGAGGGGGGGGGGGGGGCTGCTCCAGCAGATCGCTGAGGATCTTGGCCAGCAGGGTCCCGTAGTTCTCGGCGAAGCTCGTGCGGTGTAGGTTGGTACCTGGAATGTTGCCCTCCAGGTGGACATGCTCGCGCTGCTTCTCGCACTGGTGCTCGAATAGTCTTTCTGCCAGTCCTCGTCGTGTTGTGCGAACTCCAGTCCTCTTGCGAGCCAAGCCCTCTCCTGGAATCTCCAATCCTGTCATACACTGGTCGAAAAGCACATGGTGTCCAGGCAACTCGTATAGCGCCTTCGTCTTCCAGCTTCGCGCCGTAGAGGGTTGCTCCAAGTGTGCGTCTCGTCCAGCCTTCCACTGCTTGAGGTAGATCTTGCTGCAGAACATCAGGTGCGCCTGATGGTTGTCCGAGCGCCGCTGCTGCAGCTTCTGCTTGTCCTCGTCCGTCTTGCAACCTCGCTCCTGCATCAGCGTCCAGAGCTTGCACTCGGGACTCATCCAGATGTCATCCAGCTGCTCCTCGTCGACCAGGTCGAGAAACTTCTTCTGCGTAGCGATCGCACTGAAATCCCAGCCGTTGTGCATCCCGAACGTCCTTGCCTGATGTCCGCGTCTCTTCAACTCCTTTGTCAACTCCGAAGTGCCACCGTAGACCTCCCATATCTTGCGCTTGGCCTTCTGGATGTCCTTCGCCTTGCTCAGGTCCTGCTTCAACTCCTTGACGGCCGTGTCTACGGACTCCTGGCACTTGCGCAACCGCTTCAGGTTGAGGTCTTTGGCGATGTAGCTGTTGTCCTCTGCCGCGTCGACCTTGTTGTCTATCTCGACCATCGTGCCGATGAAGTCCACGGACTCCTCGTACGCCAGCACCTCGTCTCCAAGAAACGTGTAGGGGCTGATCGGATGCTGCACGCGCACGTGGTCCAACATGTTGTGAGGCAGTAGGGTCTGGTCGGCGCGACCCTTCATACACGTACTGAAACTCTCCAGCATGTCGATGATGAAGTGGCCGCGACTGGGCTGCTGGCGTAGCTGAAACCACTTGCCATCACCGTCCCAGCATGCCCTCTTATTCTTGAAATCCACGACCATCCCGAGCTCCTCCATCACTGGCCTGGCAAACAGAAATGGAGTGTGGCCAGGAATACACACGTGAGAATCTCCACAAACTTGCCTCCAGGGAAAGACGGAACAACTGCACGCGCCGTTGCCTCACTGGCCGAGTCGTTGCCGTACCTGAAGTTCTTGGAACACGGGAAAAACTTCATCTTGCTGACTGGAAATCCTTTGGCGGCCAGCTGCTTGCAATATCCTCTGAGCGTCTCGTGTCCCACAATAACGCTGGTCGCCCCACTATCGTGCATCGCCTCCGACGGGTTGAGCTCGGTAGAGTTGTACACGTCCTCCGCCTCGTCCGTGACCATCCGCGCCTCTGCGGAATCGTCGCCGACGTTCTGCCTCTTCCTGCTCGCGTGGGGGCAGTCCTTGGCGAAGTGACCTCGAGCACCGCATCGTAGGCATATCGTCTCTTCTGTCGCTCTCGGTGGTGGGTGAGGTGGTCCACGTCCTGCTGCACCCTTTCCGTAGCTGTTGGCAAAGTGTTTCTTGCCACGTCCCTTCGAAGCCGTCGCACCTCTTCCTGTAGCCCGGCCTCGGGGCGCGCCTCGCGCCGCACCTCGACCTCTGCCAGCGGCAGGGGCCCGTGAGGGTATGATAGCTCCAGTACTCCTCGTCGGTGGCGGCACCATAGCTACGACTGGGTAAAAACCTCTGACCAACCTCATGTCGTTCATCTTTTGTCTCGCGTCGGCGCATGCTGCCATTATCTCATCGTATTGGTCTACGTCGTACGCCTTGTCTGGCATGCTGGGGTTGTTCGTCAGTGTCTCGCTGTAGTAGGCCGCTTCCGAATCGAAGCTCGGGCCCATCTCTTGGTGGTCCTCGCCGTAATCATCGTAGTAGTGCTCCTCGTCGTCGCCTCCGTAGTAGACGTCATCCTGCTCGTCGAACTCCTCGTAATCGCCCAGGTGGTAGGCGGCCGCTCCAGCACTGGCTCGAGAGCTCGGCATCGAGTCTAGCCCGAACGTCTGCTTCAGCTCGCCCTCGACCTTGCCCAGTGAGAGGTTGTCGCCGACCTGGTTCACGATGAGCTGCTTGCCCTCTTTGTCGAGCCCGGCCCTCCGTAGTAGAAACCAGCCGAGCACTTTGTCGGGTAATGTCACGTCGTGTGCTCGCACTTTCCGCTCTGATGTCCGAAACCTCGTCAAGTAGTCAATCAGAGTCTCCCTGGGCTTGCGGGCTGCCTTGAAGAAGAAATTCTCGAAGTCCGACGGGAGTTCCGTAATATGATCATACTTGTATGCCCTGTCGAGCGTCTGGATGATGGTCTGCCAGCCTTTCTCCCCCTCGATCTCGCCGATCCCGATATCCTCGACCACCTCCCACGCTCGGCCACACAGGCCTTGCGTTATCTCGAGCCCTACTCCTTTCTCCTGCTCGCGTCCGCGAGCCCTCGCCGCGAAGATCTCCACCTTCTTCCTGAAAGTCCTGTAGCCATCGATCGAGCCGTCGAACTCTGGGGCTCTGCCGATGAAACTCGTCGCGGGCGGCTGTGCGTCATCTCGTCCTGCTGCTGCTGCGCCGCGTCCCCCGCCAGGCGGTCCCATGGGTGATAACTGTGGTCCGTGAACAGATCGCCCCAGCTACCAATGTGAATCGGTCGAAGCACTCTAAGTCTTCAATCGCGGTCGAATCGAAGTCCGAAACCTGCCAACTTCTCCTCGAGCACCCTCGTCCACAATCGCTCTGCGTGCAGGGAGGGTGATGATAGCGTTTCTGGTCAGTCGAGAGGCCTCTCGAGCTCAAACGGCAACAGTGCTTGCTCCTATCTGCCATGCCTGCTTTACACATGCTGCCACGCTGCTGGGGAGCGAGGGGTGCTGCCCTAACAGATTAGTCAGAAACACCTCCGAAAACGCATTGTACGGAGTGCAATTCACACCCGAGACGCCCCAAAAGGCCCCAAGGGGCTTCCCAAGAGGGCCCCAAGAGGGAAACGTCATTGATTTTTTCATGGCGTTCAAAGGTTTTACTGGTTCTCTTTTTTTTCGGGCCAACATCAGCCCGAACCGGCCCAAAAGGCTCCAAATATCGCCCCAAGATAACCCAAGAGGCCCCCCAAAGAGCCCGAAAACGATCCGAGAGAGTCCCAAGCCCAAGAGGGCTCCAAGACGGGCCCAAGAGAGCCCCAAAAGCGCCCGTAGAGGCACCCAAAAGGCCCCCAAGACGCCGCCAGGAGAGCCCCACGACGGCCGAAGGCCTCCAAAACGCCCCAAGACGGCCCAAAAGGGCCCCGAGACGACCCGAGAGAACCCCAACAGGGCCCTAAAAGGGATCCAGAAGGGCCCCAAGAAGCCCGGCAACGCGATTGCGGCGGCGCTCGCGATGGCAGCGGTCTCCCCCTCTCACTCCGTTTCGTATGTCGTCGCCTTCGTCGTCGTCGTCGTCGTCGTTGTCGTCGTCGTCGTCGTCGTTGTCGTCGCTTTCGTCGTCGTCGTCAGCGTCGTAGCCGACGTCGTAATCATCGTCGTTTTCATCGTCGTCGTCCGTCGTCGTCATCGTGGACTTCGTCGTCGTCGTCGTCGTCGTCCTCCTCGTCGCCCCTGTCTCGGCCGGCCCGCCGACTCGGCCGGCCCGCCGGTTCAGCTCGGCTCGGCTCGGGTTGGCGGCGAAGGAGCGGGAAATGAAGGATGAGGTAAGGAAAGGAGAGGGACTGGAAGACATTGTCAGATCGACAACCACGAAAACGACAACAAGGCGTTATCGCTTTCTTTAACTATGTACGTACCTGAGATCCCACCTGCTTGCTCAACTTGAAGGACCATAGTAGTATGGCCACTTTTGCCTGAGACCCTCGCACCTTTGAGTTACGAGATGCCGGGAGCAGCTGGTCAGGCCACTACCGCCTGAGATGCGCATGTGTATGCGCACACATAGGTACACAGACCGTTTGCATATACATGCACATACCCATACATACGTATTTTCATATGTACATATGTAATTCGTTTCCATAGGCGCATGTGTGTGCGCATGTACGCACGCACGCACCCCGCTAACGTGCGAAACTCTAAAGGGCCAAGTTGCATGGCGCGCAGCACCAATGCAGTCTTGTATATATATATATATATACATACAAATATACATACATACATACATACTAGAACCGTCGCGCGCGCTTCGCGCGCGCTCAGGTTCTAGCAGGCCCCAGGTTTTGACGAATTCACTGCTCCACTGAAGTAGTGGACCACAGTCCACGCATGCCAATCTGCATTCCGAAAGGCCTTCGAGGAAAATGGTTGTGTAGGGGGGCGGAGGCCGTAATAAAAAGGGTTCCCAGAAGGCCGTCTGGGACCATGGGTTTGGGGCGTCTTGGGGAGCCTGTTGGGGCGTGCCGTCGTCGTCATCGTCGTCGTCGTCATGTCGTCGTCGCCTATTGGGGCGCGCCGTCGTCGTCGTCGTCGTCGTAGTCGTCGTCGTCGCCGCCGCCGTCGCCGTCGTCGTCTTCGTCGTCGTCGTCGTCGTCGTCGTCGTCGTCGTCTTCGTCGTTTCGTCGTCGTCGTCGATTCAAGAGGGCACTTGGGGCAACTTTGTGCGAGACGATCTGCGGAGGGCCGCGAGAAGGCGATCAGTCATGTTCCCAATCAACTTCCCAGACAGCTCTCCTGTAGCATGATGGTACTTCGAAGCCTCCGGAGACTCGCGGGCCCATGATGAACCATGTCCCCCGAAGGCTTTCTGGAGACATGGTTTGTTGGGGTGTGTTGGGGGGTCTCTTGGGCGTTCTCTGGGGCCCCTTGGGGGCCTCCAGGAACTCTCGGGCCCATGATGAACCATGTCCCCGGAAAGTTCTCTGGGGACATGATTTCTTGGGGAGTGTTGGGGGGCCTCTTGGGCGTTCCCTGGGAGCCCCTTGGGGGTCTCTTGGGGCTTCCTGGGGGCCTCTTGGGCGCCTCACGGGGCTTCGTGGGAGCCTCTTGGTGGCCTCCGGGGGCCTACAGGCGGCCTCTAGGGCCAGAGACCTCGAAATATCGGTTGGCGGTCCCCCTCTGGGCCCTCTCTTGGGGAGCTCTTGGGGCACAGTTGGGTTGTCTGGGGAGCCTCCTGGGCCGTCTTGGGGCCCCCTTCGGGGCCTCCTGGCCCGTCTTGGAGCGATCTGAAGGGCCTCCGAGCGAGGCTGTGAGGGAGCGCTGGGAAGCGAGGAAAGCGAGAACGCCTAAATCCTTCTGGAGGCGCTCTTGGGGCGTTCTGGCGACGTCGTCGGCCGTCCTGAGGCCATCTTCGGCGTGTCCGGGGCCTGTGGGGGCTGTCTAGGTTTCCGGGAACACGATTTCGAACGAGGCTCTCTTCGGCCTCCCTGAGGCCGTCTTGGGGGCCTCCTGGGCTGGCTTTGGGGCCTCTTGGGCCGTCTTGGGGGGTTCCGTCAGCCCCACAGGACGACCCTTTTGGGCCGTCTTGTGCCCTCTTGGGTCTCTCTTTGACTGTCTTGGGGCTCCTCGGGGGCGTCTGGGGCACTGCGAAGACGAAGCAAGGGAGTATGCTGAAAATGTATGTTTTACTGGCTGATTCTTGCCTCCTGAAGGCCCTCTTGGGGCCCTCTTCGGTCATCTTGAAGCCATGTCGGGCCCTCCTGGGCCTTGCTGAGGCTGTCTTGTGGGCCTCTTGGGCGTCCTGGGAACCCGGAAATCAAGTTCCTGGAGAGGCTTCCGGGAACATGATTTCGAACGAGGCTCTCTTGGGCCTCCCTGAGGCCGTCGTGGGGGCCTCCTGGGCCGGCTTTGAGGCCTCTTGGGCCGTCTTTGGGGGTTCCGTGAGCACCAAAGGACGACCTTTTTGAGCCGTCTGGGGCCCTCTTGGGTCTCTCTTGGGCTGTGGTGGGGCTCCGCGGGGGCGTCTGGGGCACTGTGAAGACGAAGCCAGCGAGCATGCTGAAAATGCACGTTTTACTGAGGAAATGGGCAGATGTTTGCCTCTTGAAGGCCCTCTTTGGGCCCTCACGGGCCCTCTTGAGGCGCTCTTGGGCGTCTTGGGGGCCTCTTGAGGCTTTCTTGGCCATCTGTACAGCCCGCGTGGCCTGTCGTGGGCAATTTGGAAGCGGCCCGGGGCAGTCCGGGGGGGTCTGTGACCCCCCAAAGGTTCGGGGGGCGGCCATGGGGGATGACGGCACCGATGTTTGCCCCCCCCCCCCCCCTGGCCTACTCATATATATATATATATATATTATATATATATATATATATATGTATATATATATATATATATATATATATATATATATGTGTATGCTCATTTGGCGCTCCGCGCGGATTTCTTGGATCCGCGCTGGACCCCCCTACGCCGGAAACGCCGTCCAGGGGGGGGGGCCAGCGCGGATCTAAGAAATTCGCGCGGAACGCCAAAAAGCTAATGTGTTTGCAAGTTTTTCTTCTTCGGATCCTCTCGTGGCTCGGAAACGACTGGACTGCTTTCTTTGCTTCAGTTGCCCTCCACGTGCTTAACCAACCCGCCCGAGAGTTTCCATTGTGAGGCCTCCAGCTGCCGCTCGTCGATGCTGCTGCTATTGCCAAGTGTGTTGCCGTTTTCTTTTTCGACTGGATGAGTCCATCGGAGTGTGTTCCAGGACGGGTTGCTGCTCCCGCCTCTCCCGCCTCTCCCCCTTTCCTTCCTCGACATCGATCGTTTTCGTTGTTCTTGCTCCTCCTAAGGCATCTGGGGAGGTTCACCCCGCCACAAATTGACCCCACCCCCGCAATGTTTGGCAAGATGAATGCTGGATGCCCCCTCCCCAAGGAGGAGGAGGAGGAGGAGGAGGAGGAGGAGGAGGAGGAGGAGGAGGAGGAGGAGGGCTCGAGGATGGACGATCCAGGTTTTGGGACGCCCGCTGGCCTTGTTGGGCCTCTCGGGGTGCCCACGTGGCCACAACTGGATCCGCCTCGAAAGTCTGGCCTGGATAGGCTCCACGAGAGGTCCGTCGGTCGACTGGTCAAAGGGGGAGGGGGGGCTCTGACCTCTGGCGTCACGAGATCGTGAGTTGCAGCGGCCGGCCCTGCTCCAAGCTGTTGCGGAAACCTCGGAAGACAATCTCCTCGATGAGCGGGCCGGGGTTACAAATTCCGGGGGGGGTCGCTCCGTGAAGACACCAGTTACCCGGGGACGTACCCAACCATTTCTGCACATAAGGCGGCTAGAAGCAGGACCGATTAGCTGACAAGAATTTATCTGCATGCGTGTCGCCTCCAGTGAACGCTTCGTCCCAAAGCGCATGACCACACTCAATGTTCCCCAGTCGCGCGAGAACTATGGCAATCCAGGGTGGCGGCGAGAAGATGACGATGAACGCACCGAGGGGCAAGAAGACGAACGTATGAGGAAGGGGGACATCGACGTAGAGGAATGGATAGCGCGAGGAACAGCCCCGAATAGCGCCGCGCGCCGCGTCCGCGTTGCGAGACAGCGCCAAGCGCTGCATAACAACGCTGTAGTACAACCAGGGCAGCGCGACGCGCTGAGCGCTGCGCGCGCCCGAATGCCTCACGGGTAAACTGCAGCTGAGGAGTGGCGGGGTGCCGACGGACAGCGCCATGCGCCAGATGGCGCACCAGCGCCTCGCGCTCTGCGATGCAACAATGTCCTGCGCCAGTTGACAGGACAGCGCCGCGCCGAAGGGGCACCTGAGACGACTGCGATCATCACAGCGCCCGCGTCGCAAGGCGTCGCGCGCAGGCCTCTGTCGCGACCCTGCAGAGCCAAAGTCACGAAACGTCAATCGGTCGTGCCCCCCCGCCACCGGGTCGTTGCCCGCAGTCTTGACGCGCGGCGAGTTCCCAGCTTCAAGAAAAATCAAGCGGCTTCGCGAGGCAAGGGATGGCGCGCAGAAGCAGGGGCGAGTTCCGCCCGCGCTTTGACAACGCGCGAGCTGACGCTGGGTTCGGAGTCAGACTTGGGCGCCCGAGTGATCCAGGATAAGTGCGGCCCAGGGGCATTCGGGTCTCGGCCTCCGAGGCGCGGACCTGCAGTTACCCCTGACTGCTCCCAGCCCTCATGATTCGGGGGCGTTGGACGCCAGAGATATCCGGGACAACTGCGGCGCGAATCTGTAGCTATCCCTGACCTCCCCCAGCCCTGATGATTCGGGGCCCCGACAGACACCTCGCGGTTCCGCGCGCGCCTCGCCCGGCGGAGGCCCCGAGGCGAGAGGGCGTTCGCGAGGGTCTCCCCCGAAGAGCCTTGGGCGAGCAGCCGCCCTCCCGGCAGGACCACGCCCACCGGCCTCAAATCTCGGGCCCTGCTCGCCCATGCGCCACTCGGCCATGAACTTGCGCCGCGCGGTCGCGAGCTGCTGCGGGGGAGAACGCGGAATCACACCAGAATACGTCTCTGCACTGAATGAGGAAACGCAGCGCGCGCCCCTCCAACATCTTGCCCCAGCTCGGGCTGGCAGGCGCCCCCCTGGCCGAAGATAGAAACTTGCCCGTCGCTTCGCATGAATGCCGCGTGGAACATACCCGCGGCTGGGCGCGTATAGATGTGCCCCAGCTCCAGAGGCGGGGCATCACCGTGACCGAATGGATGATCACCGCGAGCAACCGCGCCCCCATTGCTTGGGAGCAAGACCGCGTGTCGGATCCCAGCCGACACCGGCGCGTACGTGAGAGCCCGTGGAGCGCCAGGGCGTCGCGGTGACCGACCCTCCTCCTCTTGCGATGGCACGCCAAACGTCACGAAACCGCCGTCGACCATGATGAGCACAGCAAGATTCGCAACGGCCCCGTGCGCATACGTAATTCCCGGCCGCGGCGCTGGCACGACGAGACGGGGGGACCTCGGCCACGCCGAAGCTCCGCAGCACGGCTATGGCCTCGCCTCCAGTTGCGACTTGAGTGCAACGTACCTCGCGGTCGATCCCTAAGTGCGTGTTGGACCTCAGTGGGTCCACGTGGACAACGCCGTCAGTTGCCAGAGGCACGGTGAAGTTGTCGCCCGCTGCGAGCTGCTTAGTGGAGACAATGGGGTCCCGAATGGTCTTGCAGAGCTCGACGACTGGAAGCATTGTGTTCTGCTGCGCGTGGTAGATCCCGACTGCCCCATCGCCGGCACGAAGAAGGACGCGACGTGACCCCGTCGATATTTGCAAGTCCGCCGCGCTGCAGCGCGGAGCTGGGACAACGAGGAAACCACGCTGCTTCGCAAACGCAACGGCACCGTCGCTCCTCAGCATCCCAGAACGATTTTTACCGCTGCAACGGCCATGAAGGAAACGCGGGCAAAGCACATGGAAACTGCAAAAACAAGGCCACAGGTCCGACGGACCACCGCTTACTTGAACCAAAGAGCAACGCGCGGCAACATCAAGTGGCCCTCTCCTCATGCGCTTCAACCTCGCCCCTTGGGTCGACAAAAACAACAAAAGGACGCTCATGTACAGTTCCGGTTGCAACCATCTCTAATAGCGGCGCAGTTCGCATCCCCCCTAAGGAGCCGCGAAATCTAGTCTGGGTGTGCATATGACACAACTCTGCTGGACCTGCCAACAACACACGAAAACGGCGACAATGACAAAATTCACAGGACCCCCCAGGAGCCGTGAGGCCTCGGCCGGGTGCGCGTACAACTCCACTCCGCTGGACCTCCCAGGACCCCACCCACGAAAGTGGCGACCCTTGCGCAAGTGGCAGCCTCCCAGGAGCCCACGGAAGTAGCGACCGTTGCGCCAGTGGCAGCCCCCCAGGGAGCCGCGAGGTCTCGTCTGGATGCGCGTGGCTCTCCATAAACATATGATAAGCGGCCCCCGCCCCCCGCACGAGGAACTTTAGACCAATGGGACCGTCAAACGACGCGCGAAGTGAAAGCAGAAACTGCTCGAAGGTCAGCCAACGACAACGCCGCGACATTCAACGCAAACGGCGCGCTGCTGCCATGCCCATTGGCATTCGAACGTGGCGTTTCCACGTGCCGGCACGCGGTCAATGTCCAAAACCATTGTCGACATTCGCGCGCTCGTGCCAGGGCAAAAACCGATGGGCGCGTCGGCCCTCGGCGGCGCTGGCAAGAGCCCCACGCGGCGCCCGGGGCCCGCCCTGCACGGGCGCGCATCGAAAAGTTTCGATCCACCCCCAGAAGAAAGTTTATGTAAACTCCATATAACATCAACCTGAACTTCTCCGAAGCAGAAGGTTTCGCTCGCGAGGGAGAGCCCCGAAAAGTTTATATAAACAGAAAAAATGTTTATATAAACGACGAAAAATAAATTCGCCCAGTTGCCTTACGAGAAACGCTCCCGATCTAAACTTTTCCGCCGGCGGGGTCAGGAGGGGGCGACGGAGGCGGGCGCGGGGGCCCTCGGCTGGGCCACTGCCGCGCCAGGGACAGCGCCGCCGTCGCCTCAAACTGCGAGCCGCAGCCGTGGCACGCGCCGCCCTGGGAACGCCAGCGCGGGCGCGGCCGCGTCGAGCGGGCCCAGGACGTCGCCGCGCGCGCGGGGCCCCCCTGCGGCAGCTGGCAATGGTCTCGCCGACAAGGCGCGTACACTGACGCTCATTCGCCGTAAATGCAAAACGCTGACGTGTAACATCCATAATTGTGGGGGCTGGGGTAGGTTTCCCACTGTTCACTCCACCCGCTAGACCTCCCAGGAGCCCACGAAAGTGGCCACGGCTGCGAAGGAAGCAGCCCTGTGCGTGACGACCTACTCCGCTGGACCTCGCAGGAGCTCACGAAAGTGGCGACAGTTGTGAAGTCGCCAGCCCCCCAGGGAGCCGCGAGGTCTCGCCTGCGTGCGCATACAACTCCCCCCCCGCTGGACTCCACTGGAGCCCACGAAAGTGACGACGGTTGCGCAGGAGGCAGCGCCCCCGGGAAATCACGCTAGTCTAGGTCCGCATAGGATTGGACCTCCCAGGAAACCACGCATGTGGCATAAGTTGCGCTGTTGCCAGCCCCCCATGGAGCCGCGAAGTCTCGGCAATGTGCGCGTGACGCCCCACTCCGCCGTGCCTCCAAGGAGCCCACGAGAATGGCGGCATGTGCGCAATTGCCGGGCCTCCAAAGGGGTCGCGAGGTCTCGTCTGATCCGCGTACGACTTCCCTGCGCTGGCCCTCCCAGGACCTCACGAAAGCGGCGACAGCTGCGCAGATAACAGCCCCCGCCCCCCAGGAAGCCGCGAGATCTCGCCTGCTCCGCGTATGACGTCCCTGCATCGGCCCTCCCAGGTCCTCGCGAAAGGTGAGACAACTGCGCAGTTCGTAGCCCTCCAGGGAGCCGCGGGGTCTCGTCTGATCCGCGGATGGCGTCACTGCGATGGCCCTCCCAAGAACTCACGAAAATGGCGACAGCTGCGCAGATTGCAGCCCCCCAGGGAGCCGCGAAGTCTCGTCTGATCCGTTTGTGACGTCCCTGAGCTAGCCCTCCCAGGAGTTCACACGAAAGAGGCGACAGTAGCGCAAATCGCAGCCCACCCGGGAGCCGCCAGGTCTCGTCTGATCCGCGTATGACGCCCCTGCGCTGGCCCTCCCGTGAGCTCATGAAAGCAACGACAATTACACAGATCGCAGCCCCGAGGGAGCCGCGGGATCTTGTCTGATCCGCGTATGACGGCCCTGCGTTGGCCCTCGCGTTGGCCCTCCTCACGAAAATGGCGACAGGTACACAAAAATTCACCCCGCCGCGGAACCGCGAGGTCTCGCCTGATCCGCAGATGACGTCCCTGCGCTGGCCCTCCCAAGAGCTCACGAAAATGGCGACAGCTGCGCAGATCGCAGCCCCCCAGGGAACCGCGAGGACTGCTCTTATCCCGGTATGACGTCCTTGCACCGGCCCTCCCAGGAGCTCACAAAAGTGGCGACAGCTGTGCAAATCGCAGCCGAGCTCACGAAAGCGTCCGCGAGGTCTCGTCTGGTCCGCGCATGGCGTCCCTGCGCTGGCCCTCCCAGGAGCTCACGAAAGTGGCGACAGCTGCGCAGATCGCAGCCCCCTAGGAGGCAGGCAGGAAGCAAGCAGCTCGGAGACAGACAGGAGGAGGGAGCAGATGGGAGGCAGGAGGGTGGAGGAGGAGGAGGAGGAGGAGGAGGAGGAGGAGGAGAAGGGAAGTGGAGACCGCAGTGCTCTGCCCAGAACGAGAACCCCCAACCGAGGGAGGGTTGGCACTGCAGCGCGTCCGAGGGCCGGGCCCTGGTGGGGGATGAGGAGGCACGAGACCGCCGCGAGAGACCCTGACTGTCCGGCGACAGGTACACGCCGGCGCCGTAGGCGGCCCCGTTGATTTGATACCCCGTGTTCGAGCAGTTTCTCAGGCCGTTGCGGAGGATGGAGTGCCAGTTCTCTGTCCCGCTCCCGTGGTAGGCGAACTTCGAGCCGTGCTGCAGCTTCAGCGCCTGGAACTGGCGCTCCCGATCGGGCGGCGCCGAGATCAGCAGGTACTGGAAGGGGGTGTTGAAGGCTTTGATGCGCACGGTTTCAAGGATAGGGGCAAGGTAGGAGCGATTTTGGGGGGACAAACAATGGCATAAACATAAGAACTCGGAGGTCCGCGCGGATTCCTCGGATCGGCGCTGGGGGGCCATGGCGGCGCCTCCAGCGCCGATCCGAGAAATTCGCGCGGACCTCCGAAAGCTAACGCGTGTGCGTGTCATTGTTGGTTCCCCCAGATTTGATGACACGATCCACTTCAGCAGTGCCTTTCCTTCAGACGACATCTGGAGAGTTTGCACGGTCCATCCAGCCCCGATTGAAGCTGCGGAGGAGTCCCGTACCTTCTTGAGCTCCTCGACGGCCCTGGCCACCTTCTTGAGATCCTTGTTCCTCGGGTCGAACAGGAAGTCTGTACCAGTTGTGTTTGAACAGCAAGGGTACGGATCCACAATAAGGTTGCTGCGCGGAGAGATCGCAGCCCTGGCGAACATGCAGAAGAGAAGATCGGTTATCTCGGCCTGGGCGTTCATGCCCTCGGCCGTGGTGATACGCTCGCCGAACTCCAGGAACTGGTAGGCGCACAGCTGTCGGGTGCACACCGTCCGCATAAACATAGGAGGCGCGGAGAAGGGCTGGTCGCAGATGGTGCAGTACTCGTGCGCAGTTACCAGCCGCAGCCGCAGGTATCTGGCGATGTCAGGGGGGAAAAAATGGCCACGAACATGCGGTCGGGAACTTTTGCTTAGCGTGTCGCTGCAGCGGCCCCAGTGACACGCTATGCCTGGCAAGCAGATAGCTTGTCGCTCCGCTCCGCGGGGCGGGAAGCTCGGACAAGCTCGGGACGTTGACGCTGGGGGACCCAGAAGTGGATGGCATGTCGCGCCGAAGCTTGGTGGGCCAGAACCGGCGGAGCAACACGCTATCCGCAAATTTTGGACCGGAAACTTTCGGAAGTCCGCGCGGACTTCTTCGATCCGCGTTCAAAACCCACACCCAGGGTGCGCGGAGCGCGCCAGGGGCGACGCCAGAGGCGCCGCCAGGGGGCGGGGCACAGTGCCGATCCAAGAAATGCGCGCGGAGCTCCGGCAGTTCATGCTTGTGCCGATCTTGTTCTCCCACGAGATGTGCACGAAGAGACCCTCGCCGGTGTTGCGCAGCGCCCTTCGCTTCAGCTCCTCTTTCTTCTGGGCGTAGCTGGCGATCTGGGCGCTCTCCTCCGACGAAAAAGTCGGGACATCCAAAAAACAGAGAATCACAAAATTGTGCACTGGAATATTTTTGTGCCACTGATTTGTTTCAATCCATGCGGTGGAATCTAGGTGGTACAGTCCATGCAAAGCATGCAAAGCTCTATGTGGCGCAAAGCAATGCAAAGCAATGCAAAGCAATGCAAAGCAATGCAAAGCAATGCAAAGCAATGCAAAGCAAAGCAGAGCACCCCGAAGCAAAGCAGCGCAAAGCGAAGCAAAGCACTGGAAAGCAGTGCAAAGCAATGCATAGCAATGCATAGCAGTGCATAGCAGTGCAAAGTATTGCACATATTCTTTGAAAGCAGCGCAAAGAAGTGCAAAGCAATGCAAAACAATACAACGCACCGCAACGTAAAGCAATGCAAAGCAATTTCAAGCCCTACAAAGCGAAGCAACTCAACGCACACCAAGTAAACGCAACGTAAAGCAATGCAACGCAATGCAAACATTATGCAAAGTAACACAATGCAAAGCAACTTGAAGACATATACAGCATTGCGAAGCAATGCGAGGCCATGCAAAGCAAAGCATTGCAAAGCAACGCACAGCAAAGCAACGCAAAGAAACGCAAAGCCACGATATGCAAAGCAGAAAGCAATGCCAAGAGACGCAACGCAACGCAATACAATGCATGGCGACTGCACTGCAACGCAGGGGGACTGCAATGCAATGCGATTGGAGAGAAATGCAAAGCAACGCAACGCAACGCGATTGCGATACTATACCATACGATTGCAGCGCAATGCGACTGCAATGCGACGGGGGGGGGTGCAACGCGGCGGCGGCGACGGGCGGGCAGGGGGCCGCTGGGCGGGCAGACGGTCCTTGCACGTTTGAAACTGGAGCGGCGACTGACGGGAACGGTGCCGCTGGACCCTCGGACGGGTCCGGTTCCTCAGAAGAGGCGCAAGAACCCCCAAGTGCAAGCGCTGTTTGGGGAACGACTTGCATCGAAGCACCATGTTCTGAAAAGATGCAGAAAAAAGCACCAGCGGAACGCACGTTGTCTGATTTGTTCGCTTGCAATCTCGACCCTCTCCTCCGCCGAGAGCTCGGAGTCGCCAACGTGGCAGCTCGGGGAGGCCCGGCGCAGCGCCGCGTCGCAGAAGTCCGCCAGGACCTGGAGCAGCTGCTTCTCGAGCTGGAACGTCCGTACCCCGCCCTCCTACAGACCAGGGAATCCAAGACATTGAAAACATCGGAGCGGCCGGTTTGGGGCCTTTTCTGCCTCTGGAGGCCAGTTCTGGGCCCTGGGACAGTCAAACACCGACTGGAGCGAAAAAACAGTCCTTGTGAAGAGGGTGAGACGTTTGCGCCCACGCATCGAAATTATCCGGGCGAAAGACCCAACCATATGCAGTTGTGGGCACCGCTTTCGGTAGAGCTCTTTCTGGGGCCACGGAGCGGGTGAAGGGTGTGCCCACTGCATTCGGACCGAGCCACTGGGGCATTCGGTGGAGCTCCCTTCAGGGCCACGAAACCGTGAAGGGTGTCCCAGAATCGGCGGGGGACCAAATGCGAACTCTGCCGCTGGGGCCTTCGGTGGAGCTCCCTATGGGACCACGAAACATGTGAGGAGTGTGCCGACATGGGCATGGAACCGCATGTGGACTTTGCCGCTGGGACCTTTCGGTGAAGCTCCCTGCAGGGCCACGAAACGTATGAGGGCTATGCCGAAATGGGCGGCGCGGGCGCATGCGAACGCAGCAACTGGGACCTTCGGTGGAGCTACCTGTAGGCCACGAAACGTATGAGGGGCGCGCCGAAATCGGCAAACGCAGCCACTGGAGCCTTCGGTGGAGCTCCCTGTAAGGCCACGAAACGTGTGAGGGGAGTGCCGAAATGGGTGGCGCGGGCGCATGCGAACGCAGCCACTGGAACCTTCGGTGGAGCTCCCTGTAGAGTCACGAAACGTGTAAGGGGTGTGCCGAAATCGGTGGCGCGGACGCATGCGAATGCAGACACTGGGACCTGCGGTGGACCTCCTTGTAGGGCCACAAAACATGTGATGGGTGTGCCGACATGAGTGGCGCGGACGCATGCGAACACACCCACTGGGACCTTCGGTGGAGCTCCCTGTAGAGTCAAAAAACGTGTGAGGGCTGTGACGAGATGGGTGGCGCGGGCGCATGCGGACGCAGCCACTGGGACCTGCGGCGGAGCTCCTTGTAGGGCCACGAAACGTGCGAGGGGTGTCCCGAACGAGGTGGCGCGGACGCATGCGAACGCAGCCACTGGGACCTTCGGTGGAGTTCCCTGTATGGCCACGAATCGTGTGAAGGGTGCGCCGAAATGGGTGGCGCGAACGCATGCGAACACATCCACTGGGACCTGCGGTGGACCTCCTTGCAGGGCCACAAAACATGTGATGGGTGCGCCGACATGGGTGGCGCGGTCGCCTGCGGACGCAGCAACTGGAGCCTTCTGTGGAGCTCCCTGTAAGGCCACGAAACATGTGAGGGGAGTGTCGAATTGGGCTGCGCCAGCTCGTACTGAGGCAGCCACTGAGACCTTCGGTGGAGCTCCCTATAAGGCCACGAAACGTGTGAGGCGTGTGCCGAAATGGGTGGCGCAGACGCGTGCGAACGCAGCCACTGGGACCTTCGGTGGAGTTCCCTGTAGGGCCACGAGGCGTATGAGGGGTGTGCCGAAGTTTGTGACGCGGACGCATGCGTACACACCCACTGGGACCTTCGATGAAGTTCCCTGTAGGGCCACAAAGCGTGTGAGGGCTGTGCCAGAGCAAAAATTGTGGCGCAGACGCATGCCAACGCAGAGGGAGCAGGAGAAGGTGTGGGACGCGGGGCGTTGTGTCTTCAAAACGGAGACCCAGCACCGCAAGATGATTGGGAAAGCTTTGAGCGACCGATGACATGGACATCCTCCCAGCGCCCGAGAGCGGGAAATGCGTCGACCCTGCGGACGCGTGTGATGAGGGAGTCCTGGGGTCGTCGTCCCGGGGCGGTCCTGGGAGGAGCTTTTCAGCTCGAAACTGTTCACCCCCATCCCCATGCGGCCGTCCAGGCTCGCCAACCCGGGGAGAGAATCGACCAAGCTCCCCATCGAGTCCAAGAAAGGAAGCCCCTTGCGGTGTGATCCCTTCCCCGCCGAAGGTGGATGGGCAGGACGGTGTGTTAGGGGGGGGGGATCGGGCGCGGTCCTTGGAGGGGTGCGCCTTTCCCCCCCCCCCCCCCCCTCCCTGCCTGGGGCGGATGATCTTGGGGCCTGTTTGGCAAGATCTGAGCCACCCAGGCCGGCCTGTTCGGGGGCAATCGCGGTCCACTTCGGCACGCTTGGGGGTCTCGCGGGCCGCCTTGGAGGCCCCAGGAGCCCGGGGGGCACAAGCATGCACAACCCCTTTGGTTCTCGTGTGATCTCAGCGTTCTCGCAGCATCGGTCGTAAGAGCGTCCAAGACGGCCCAAGACTGGCCCAAGAGGCCGCCAAGACTGCCCCCAAAGAGGGGTCCAACAAGCGCGCCACCGTCGCACCGATGGAAGCCACCCCCTCCAACATGATCCCCCTCCAGAGGCCCAGAAGAGGCCTTAAGCCCAGGGGGTCACAAAGGCCCCCAGGAGCCCCCGAAGACGCCCCCTAAGAGCCCCCCCAGAATATCTCCAAGGCCTCTGGAACACAGCCCAGGCTCAGTGGCGGGATACGGTGGGGGCATTGGATGAGGAGACCTTGAATCAGAAATCCAGGATTTGGAAGTCGGTGGAACTCCAACCGTAGATCGGCCACGGATATCACCGCCGCCCCCACCAAATAAGAAATCCTCCAGGGTGTGCAGCCTTCTGGGCACATTCCTTACCGAACGCTGCCACGGCAAGCCGAAGACCGTTCGATTTCCGCCCTCGCATCAACGCCGCCACTGCCCCTTGCCCTCTGTCCCCCGTCCGCCTCTTGCCCCACGATGCTGTCCTCTCAAGATCGGCGTCGACGGACGCAACGCCGTTGCAAGATTTTGGAGGCAGTTGGGCAGCGGATAAGAAACCAATGGACAAGCTGGGTCTGGAAGCCCGTGGAACTCCAATCGTGGACCGGCTATGGACATCACCGCCGTCCTCATCAGATTTGGAATCCTCCAGGGTCTGAAGCCTCTTGGGCACTTTCCTTAACCAGCGCCCCCACCTTAATTATCCACCTCCAACGCTCCGCGAGATCCCCTGTAGCATGTCTCCAAGCCGGTGGAAGTGGATAACTCCCCAGCGGCTCCTGCCAGGCGGCGGTCACAACGGGCCTCGGCATGCTCTGGCTCACCATGTAACCCCTGATGGGCAGCTGCACCTCAAGGAGGATCGGCCTGTCGGCCGAAACACCCCACGCGCGCGCCGTGGTCTCGTCGAGCAGCGGCTCGGCGTCCCCGTCTGCGTCCACAAGGGCCACAGCCATGCGGACCCGCCAGCTGTCGGCCCGCTGGATGCAGCTCACCGCGCCGT